GGGGGGGGGGGGGGGGGGGCCCCCCCCCCCCCCCCCCCCCCAATGGCCAAGCTCGCATTCAATTTTTTACATTTTAGGGAACCTCAATTAATTATTGGGGCCAGTGAAATAGATATTCAAGCTTTTACCCCAGACAAAAATTGAAAAACGCTATAGGACGGAGAGTGGTGTTAAGGGGGGGGGGGGGGGGTTTAAGAACTAGGAAACCTTCCCCCAATGAAGAATTTCTATATCCATTACTGACAGTCCACTGTGCATGTGACCCACCCATGGGCTTCCCATTCAGTGACACTGTCAGGGATATTGGGGGTTATTTGGGCTGAGTGGGGGGGGGGGGGGGACCTAGGGTAAACCCCCCGAAAATAAATCTCCCAATATGCCTGTCAGATCATCACGCAGTGTTGTCACTACAGCATGGTGAGACAGCACCCCATAAGGAAGGTCACACCTCACCCGAAGAGCTGTGGTAGGTCACAGGCCATACAGTAGTAGGTCACACCTCATACGATTACCTCAAACTGTCCATTGCCGAAGTTATGCCCAAAGTCTTTTTGCCTAATGTGGGTGATTAATATGGGTAATGTGCATGTGCTATCCATTTGACTCTCAAATAGTGAATGATAGATACAGTAGAAAATAACTACAGGAAGACATTATGTGAAGGCTGAAGCAAGTGTTCTCCCATATTAATCTTGAATGGACCTCATGTATTTATCCATAACTTTGATTTTCTTACACATATTATTACCATTCACTAGTAAAGACTTTGCTGTAAGATCTATGAGCTGGACTTCCACAGAAACTTGGTGTTCTTAGCTACTTTAGGAATATGTTTGCCTACATCATTCTATTATGTTATTAATATGCACCCACTGTTATAATTTCCAGACCACTTTAACCAAAAATGGGGTCACACCAATACCTGAACTCAGCAGTGCTTTCACAGCTGCACTGTAGTCATTTGCTGTTAGTATTGCCTTTAAGTATATTCTTGATACTGAAGCAACTGGCTGAGTAGGTCTCATGTATTTAGTAACTTATGTAAGAAATTGGAAGTGGCATGATTTCTGCTTATAGTAAGGAACATCATTGACCCTTCTATTCTTCTTATCTTTGAAGAGCTTATGTTTACTGCTTCTTATTGCTTCCTATGATCATTACTTGAACTTAGAGGCATGCCATATTATTTTTTGGAACCATGCTTTGGAATGGCTAAGCTATATTAAAACTAGGAATATTACTTCCTCCCCATTTTTGTTTTTGAATTGTTCCTGCAATTGTACCCAGGTGATTTGTTTTGGATGCGTGATGAGTAAAGTCATCGGGTAATTTTAAGATTAACGTAAATGTCATCATAGGATTCAACTGGACCCTACAAGGGCAAGCTCAAGTTAAACATGATAGAACCAAGCATTACATCTCCAGGGACTCAATTGAAAAATATTTAGACAAATGAAGTTTTCTTGATTTGCAGGTACCTTTTGAATGAGGGTGAAAGGTAGAATGTCATCTGCAAATTCTAGTGTAGGTAATAACAATCAAATTCATGGACAAACCATGAGACCAACTGGTGCTCCAGTGAGGAATCTGCAACTTCATGTATCTCAGCAGGATGGGACCTATCCCCAGGTCCTCAGGCATTGTCTCAGTCATTCAGGTGAACAGGGTTCAGGTGATGTGGATCATGGGAATGGGAGAGAAGGCCCAGCCATTCCCCATCGAACTCCCAATTGTGAAAGGGACCTTCCTGGCAACGTTGCTGAGATCCCAGCATCTGCAGCAAGCAGCCGGAATGTGACTCGTGAGTCAGTTTACAGATATAAGCATATCATCTATGCAGGTAGTGCAGTCAGTCAGGTTTGCGCACAGCTTTAATTCTACTATTCTGTTTCATCTGTTTTTTTAAGCACAAGGTATTGTTCAAGTGAAGGTGATTAAAATTCTTATTTCCTGGCATATTTTCCTGCTCAAGAATTTGACTACTGTAATTGTCTGCAATTTATAGCAAATCCCCACCTAAATATCGTTTCATAGCTCATTCAGAAGCATTATACGTTAAAAACCAGTTTTCAGTATTAAGTTCCTGATCCTGAATAACAAGGACTTGACCAAAATCATTTGCTTCATGCCAATAAAAATAATTTGGTGCTATTATGAGCAATCTCTATAAGTTCTAACTGAACTTGTTTTTTTTTGTGATGTATGCAGTACATCTTTTTCACTCCCCACAACTGAGGAAGTTTCAATCACAAATAAGAGAGGAAGTTATTAACTTCATCCAGGTTTAACATGATAGGAACAAAAAGTCTTCCACAGTATCTAATTTCCTAAATACCAGAGAATGACCTTGTGATCTTTTTCTGTATTTAGATTTACATGAAGTTCTGCATGCTTGAGAATTTCTGAACCACTTTTAGGCCCCATCAATAGTTGCATGGGATGAAACAGAGCAGAAGAATGCTGAAGACATTTCAGAGTAGCAACTGGTTAAGGTAACATTTAATTAACCTCTCCACTCCCTACAACATATTTTTTTTTTTACACTGTTCATAAGATGTGAGTGAGCTTTCAAAGGTGATCTTTAGAGTGTATCTGATGAAGGAGCTTGAAAAGAATATGAAGAACCACCAAGGGAACACTCTTGACTGGGCCAAGTCAATATTGCATATGCTCATAGGTATTTCCAATTCACGTGAGATACCTCCAAGCACTTTAAGGCAATGTAGGACAAACAAAGAAAGGCAAACAAATTAAGGTAAAGTATACTGGTTTTTGTATTTGGCAATTGCAATTTTCATTGCACAGCAAGAACTCTCCCATGCTGGTATTCTTACATTTCTGGACATATAATTTCTTAGTTACCAGAGCTAAGACATGGTTACTTTGAAATAACATTAACACATGATAGAGTAAGATTACATATATTTTTTGCTTGGGTTCTGAACTCACTGCTCCATCATCTATTGTGTTTCTGAAGCAAGGTGTGGCAGGTTGGTAGAATGGCTTGTCTTACATAATGAAATGTTGTCTTTAACCTCTGTGTTACTCATCAAAATTCATCATCTCACTTGTTCATCAAAATCAATCCTTCCAGATGTCATGATTACGCGTGAGAATGAGGGAATTGAAATTCAGCAAGTTGTTCAAGATCATCTTCAGAATGAAAATGAGGATGCTGCATGGAATGATGTCCAGCCAGGAAATGGTTCCTTACCAACGAGCCCTTTACAGCAGAATGCCACTTACTCCCTCCTCTTCTCATCAGCTTCATTGTCAACTCGGGACCTCAACTGGCAGGCCAAGAAGCATAGCCTAAGAGAACGTAATGCTGCCATGTTTAACAATGAACTCATGTCTGACATTCGATTCTTGGTTGGGCCCCAAGGTGAGATTCATTTTATTTTATTGAAGCAGTTTTCATCAGGTTCACTTCAACCATGAGAACTTCATTGAATTTTTTTTTTATCCTTTCAGGAAATGCTCAGAAAATTCCAGCCCATAAGTATGTCTTAGCAACAGGGAGTTCTGTATTCTATGCCATGTTTTATGGAGGACTTGCTGAAAGTGAAGATGAAATCAAAGTTCCTGATGTGGAGCCACCTGCATTCCTAATTCTTCTCAAGTAAGTGACATTTTCATCCTGAAGAATCTCATCAGATGTACTCATAATCATATCTTGCTTGCTTTTCTTCTTCAGATATTTGTACACAGATGAAGTGCATCTGGAAGCAGACACTGTGCTAGCCACTTTATATGCAGCCAAGAAATACATCGTCCCGTATCTAGCAAGAGCTTGTGTGAATTTTTTAGAGACTAGTCTCACTGCCAAGAATGCCTGTCTCTTATTGAGTCAGTCAAGACTTTTTGATGAACCAGAGCTCATGCAACGGTGCTGGGAAGTCATCGATGCTCAAGTTTGTGATTCAGTTGCCATCCTTTCATTTTATTTGACTGAAATGGATCATCTCTAATTGTCCTTGCATAGTAAAAAATGTATTTCTGATTTGCATGCAAACATGATGAGCAGCTAATGTTACACCTTGCTTGTTCTTCATGCAGGCAGAGATGGCCCTGAAATCAGATGGCTTTGTGGAAGTGGACTACCCCACATTGGAATCTGTGCTTCTTCGAGAGACATTGAACTGCAAAGAATACGTTGTCTTTGAGGCTTCTATGAATTGGGCTGGGGCAGAATGCATTCGTCGGGACCTGGAACCAACATCTGCCAATAAGCGGAATGTCCTGGGTCCTGCCCTCTACCACATTCGAGTTCCAACTATGAGTCTCGAGGAGTATGCTAATGGTGCTGCCCAGTCTGGTACTCTCACTCTTGAAGAGAGCAATGATGTCTTTCTCTACTTCACTGCTGTCAACAAGCCAGACATTCGGTTTGATTGTCATCCAAGAGCTGGTCTGAAATCACAGGTAAGGCTAATGGACATGGACAATGAGTACAATTTTTTGCAAACTTGCAGCCTTAATCTTTTTCTCTTTACATTTACCATAGGTGTGCCATCGTTTCCAGTCCTGTGCATATCGAAGCAACCAATGGCGATACCGGGGCCGCTGTGACAGTATCCAGTTTTCTGTTGACAAGCGCATCTTTGTCGTTGGGTTTGGTCTGTATGGCTCTTCCAATGGAGCTGCAGAGTACAGTGTAAAGATCGAACTGAAACGCTTGGGACGGATTCTTGCCGAGAACAACACCAGGTTCTTCTCAGATGGCTCCAGCAACACCTTCCATGTGCGGTTCCAGCACCCAATTCAAGTGGAAGCAGACACATTCTACACTGCTTCTGCCATCCTAGATGGCAATGAGCTAAGCTACTTTGGTCAGGAGGGGATGAGTGAAGTCCCAACAGGGATGGTGACCTTCCAGTTCCAGTGTTCTTCTGACAGTACTAATGGGACTGGGGTACAAGGGGGACAGATCCCAGAACTAATCTTTTATGGACCCACTCCTGAAGTCCTCTAAGGAAGAATGAGAAGAGGAAGGAAGTCAATGCCAAAATGAATATCAAAGGCTGGAACCCTGCTTGTTTTCTCTCATTTTGGTCATGTTGTGGCTGCAGAGGAACCACTGTACCAGGCAGTACAGGGTGTAGTCCAAGCAAGGATAAGCCTAATGCTTTTCAACAAGGCATCCATGCAGTTCCAAACATGCTACCAATAATTTCCTCAATCTGTATGATTTTCTTGTAGTCAGATCTGGCCCTTAAGATATTCTCTGTGATGATGCATAATTTTTTGCTTACCCACTGCCCATTCTTGATGAATCTCGGGTCTTAGGATCTTTTTTTTTTTCTTTCTGAGAAAAAAATCCCTGTATCATTTTCCAAAATATGAAACTTTGCACATATTTATTTTCCAGTGTTTGCAAGTCCACTACTGTAAATTTGCCTCAGTTTTTGGTATGATATTCCAGCAATAGGAAATGTTCCTCAGAAAAAGCAAATGGATTGTTGCCACTGATGTGATAAATAGTCTTCTTGTATGTGATGTATGAAGAGGCAGTAGTTTTAGAAAAAGTTCCCTTAAGTCAAGCTAATTTTTAAAGTGCCATGGGACCTGTTATATCCTTGTGCTAGATGTCAAGAGTCCTGTGATTGAAGTCTTCAGCAACAGCTGCAAGAATATGTAGAGTTCTGATACCAAACTAGTGGCATTGGCAATGTCCATGCTGGCCAGTATTCAGCCCATGTGAACAGAGGCAGAATTGGGAGCCCCTTGGGATCGACCCACCCCAGTGTGATTGCATCCAAATCATCATGAGGGAGCTGGGACTGGTCTGGCTTCTTTAGCTTTATTTTTATCTTCTGTCAGACCAGATATCCAGCAATTGTCATGTAGGGAAAATATTGAGTGACATTCCTCGATCTTGGAGGATGCATCTCTGTGAATAAATCCATTGTCCACAGACATGGCTCTTTGCTATCTTTTCATCTGTATTCATAGAAACCAAGATATTTCAGAAAAGAGCACCCCATCTGTTCACCACTATCCCTGGGTTGTGCACATAAAAGATGTGATCCGCAGCAAAAGTTCTTTGTTTCCCAATTAAATAATGGACTGAGTTATGGAGCAACTCGCCTACTAAGTCTCTTTCCGAATCTCCAGTGAACTGTGAATTAAAGTTCCTTTAGATTATCAGGATCCTGCTTTTTCAATCCAGCCAACTTTTCATGTGAGGATCAGATCACATGTCCTTCGTGAATGGAATTCAGCGTACCCCTGGCAGAATTTGATTTACCTTTTAGAAATGACAATTCAGGATTTGAACTTTCAGTCCTGTGCATAATGCTGTGTTTAAAAAAAAAATATATATATATGCACTTCTCATTTCCTATCAATAGCTCGGACTCGTGCTGGCTATAGGTTTAACTTGATCGGCATGACTCTCTCAATAATATATATATATATATATATATATATATATATATATAAATCCTTCCACGGCAACC